CACTTTTTGCGAATCATTAATTTCAATCTGGAAAGGGGCGGATTTGACCCTTTACATCGGTGAGCTGTGGGTATCGATAGTAGTGGCAATGACAATGTCAAAGATGAATATGGTGGTGGCGTGTGGAAGTAGTTGTTTCTGTGATATTCTTTTGGGTGAAAATGAGTTAGGATTAAGGTGGGTGTGGTGTGGTGTGGTGTGGGGGTTGGACATATCTGATTTTTGAAAGAATAATTTTACAATCTAATCTTTAACTTTGAAACGTAAAATATAGGGTTTAGAGTAATTTTCTCTTAAAGTAAATCAAGATTAGCAAATCTTAATCAAACTTGGTCTTAGTTTAATCAAACCTATCAAGTAGCGTTAACTTGGTTTTGGTACGGGATGACTGAAATCTTATCCACTAAAAAAAAAAAATCAGTGGGTATCTTAAACATGAGACTAATCTAGAAATCCAGAAATTTCAAAATTTTAGAGGGACAGGTAGAATTTTAATGAGAAAATTTATTATTTTCTTATTTAAATGGTCATTATATTTTTTTCAGTTATTTGAAAACTACTATATAAGTTGATAATCAACTTTGAAAATTTCATAACTAAAAGAGTTAAAAATATAATTTTAAAATTAATAAATTTATAAAAAATAACTTTCAAAAAATCAGGTGATATGTGATTGTGACATCTAATAAATGTTGTGACCTATAAATTGAAATTAAAACATGTTACACATACCACACAATTTATAGGCCACAATCACATGTTAAGTCACAGATTACACAAGGATACAAAAACATAACGTAATTTATGAATCACATTCATGTACTAATTCAAAAATCACATAGTTCACAAGTCACAATCATTTGTCAGAAAACAAGTTAGAGACATATATGTTATCTAATTGTGTGTCTGTGACCAATTACGGACAGTAAACATGGTTAGTGGTCACCTGCGACGGCATTGAAGGCTGTGGAACCACCAAAATAGGGTCACAGTCAACGATTTAAAATTACTTTAGCCATGACAAAGTACAAGCGCGCTTCTATACAAGTACTACACCTTACTAAACAACACAGCAAGAAATTGGAAATTTAAGAAAGACCCACCACATGGCTGATGGCCTCCGAGTATTTATCCACACCCTCCACTGCCTAGCCCAAATCAACCACCACTATAGTCGTTGGCCTTGCCCACATCATTTCTCTATCATCGTTGTTGTAGCAGTCGAGTCTTACAGTACAGAGAAGACATAAAAGTAAAAAGTATTTGTATATATAATTATGTGAATAATACTATTTGTACATCATTGTTTACAAATTGATGTACATAATGATGAAAAGGAAGAGAGAGAAAATAAGTCAATTCGAAGTCAGTCAATATATTTCACATCATTATTTTGTGGATCATGATGACAAATAGTATTATTCGTATTATATACAGGGAGAAACAGGTAAGATGGGATGTGGTAGAGTGGGTATACTTGATTTATGAAAAAAGATATAATTACTCTATGATTAATGAAACTAAAAGTTAAAAAACATATTTTTAGGTAATAATCTCATAGGCAATTGCGACAGAAGATTTAAGTACAAGAGTATTATGCTGGACCCACTATGCTTTCAATTTTAATTTGGGAAAAATTTATATATCGAGCCTTAAGTATATGCCAATTCAAATTTTAAGGGAACAAGTTTTCAAATTTAAAACTCAGGCGATAATTAATAAATGGGTTAAATCGATCAATGGCCACCTGACTTTATACTTTGAAAAAATTTATGGATCAGGTATTATCTATCATGAAATTAAAAATCAGGCCCCAAGATTTACAACATGTCTGGGCGCAATTCTTATCAGATTTTGATTCAAAATGTTACCGCTGTAGTCAAAAGGTGGGTCCCCCTCCTCTCCCAAGGAGTCAAAAATGGCTGCTCATTTCGTAGATAACGGGCGAAATTTCGATTTTAAGTGGATGAAAACTGGCGCCTAGATATGATGTTAAAATTGCAAAAATCAAGTTTTC